AGTGCGGGATATAAATTGAAGGGATTTCGGGTGATATATGTACTTAAGAACCAGGTTGTGGTAATAGATATTGAGGTAATTGAACAGAGATGACATATACACAGAGAGATAACCAAATTGATCGCTCTGTTTGTCTCCACATTCGGTTATTATAGATTTGAGCAGCAAAATGTTTGCAGATCTTCCTCCAATGAATCATAAATGGACTACGGTTAGTCAGCAGAGGAGGAACACAACCCCAAGTTCACCATGAGTGAGATCAATTAGACATCAGTAGATAGTGAGCTCACTCGGCCCATTTGCTCTTTGCACAACTGTCTCCGAGTGTGATTAGTTCACTTTTATCAGCTCGAAAAAGGCAGTCGTAAATTCCAAGCTTCAGGGCTTTGTGCCTATAAAAGTAAATCAGTTTGAACTCTAGTTATTTTCCCTTGTATTTTTCTCTCACATATGCCAGTGGCAATTAATTTGTGTGCTTAATTCGCCTAATTATTCCAGGCAATAAAGTTTTCAATACACTCAGCTGGCGATGATGATGAGGCCCCCTTTGTCCACACCTAAAAGGGAGAGTTGTGCGGGGAGTCGAGGGAAGGACACGTTTAATTCAATTCGCGAAGGTTCCTTGACTCGACTTCTTTTTATTTATATTTTTTCCGCTGCTCCCTGGCTTAGTGGCAGTACAAAAGGGCGAATAAAAAAGCAAGAGCGACATTTAAATTCAAATCGCTGAAGACGCTGACAAAGAAGCGGCGCCACACGTCGGATTAATTTTATGTGCCCCAAGGAGATGAGCGTCTCCAGGACATCTTTCGCCCTCGCCTCAATTAGAAGTGGAAGTGGCAAAGGACCTCGAGTCCCTTGCCATTCGCCATTGGCTGGCTGCAATGGTTAAAATCGAATTAAGCCACGGTGTCGCATACTTTTGATCTCCCCAGTCAGCCAATGAAATGTTGCACTCCGCGTCGAAATGTCCTTACATTGTCCTTGTGGCGCAAATGGAGGTATTTCCACCCGCCACATCCTCCTCCTTTTTTGACTATTTCAATTTCGGTTTGCTTGGCGCAAATGAAATTAAACGAAGATTAGTCGTGTGCTCGCTAGATTATTCCAAGAAATAAAAATCCAACTGAGAGATACTGCCGGGCGTTCATTATTTTTTCGTTTTGCTGGGCGGCTTTTGCCTGGCTCTGGTTTTTATTTGTATTTTCCATTCGCTCGCTGCTTTTTTTATGGCCCCTTGAGGTGATTTGCTCAAGTTCGCCGCCCCCATTTCGGGTAAATCTCAGGGGTATAGGGCTTTACTTGAGTGAAAAGAGAGGGGTGTCACATTAGTGGAACTGAAATCTGGGCAAATCACAAGCTACATTTAACCCGCAAATGATGGCCGGCTTTGGCATCAGCTGCAATTTATGAAAGAGTTTGTTAGGCCACTGAAATCTGGCTGATGAAAGAAAATTAGAAGGAGGCTTACGGGAAATTTTTAGAAGAATTTCGTTACTCTGACCAATTTACATAATCATGATATTACAATTTATAATATCCTAAATGTCATATAAATATTATTATCTTAAATAGGATATTGAGTTTTCGAAATTCTCTTGTTTTTTATTTTGTTTAACTTTATTTTGTGTTCTTTTTTATGTCTTCAACTTAAGAATATCAGACCCTTTTTCCTCATCCCATTTTAAGGGGTTACTGGGAACTTGCCTTAAATATACCCAGATAACCTTCCCCATCCAATCCTTCGCTCGTGTGTTCAATTAAAAAATGGTCACCATTAATTGCTAACCAATTTGCAGTCCAGTCGCTTCCTTGTCGGCGTCTCAAGTGTTCCGTACTGGCTTTTCCCGATTTTCCTGCTGCCACTTTGATGAGCGGCAATCCATGTTGACATTTTTTGCATATTAATTGAAGACACGGCCTCGTCTTGCGGCCCTCGATTTTTTCCCTCGGCCTGTAACCTCGTCCACCCTTGGCTTAATTTGCGGTAAGTTCATTAAGTAATAAAACATAAATTTCATCTTTTTTTGTTCTCCAACACCCCGTCGTCATCGAGTTCTTGATACTTTTCCCATTTTTTCTGGCTGCTGTTTCTGTTGTTTTTTAATGCTTTGCATATTTCTTTAATGAATTAATTCTGTTTTGGTTTCGCTTTGGGTTTCGGTTCTGTTGATTCACCGTTCACTGGACTTTGATAAAAAAAGGCACAAAGTCGCAGCGGCAATAAAACTGAAGAAACGCGGGGCAGAATATTTTGTATAATTTATGCGAAAAACATTAGGGGAAAATCGGGCGGCAGGGGAAAACGCGTTTGTCGGGTGTTAATTATGCTCTGGCTGCAAAACTTTTCTATCAATTTTTGGAAATATAAATTTGAGAGCGCAAAAACATGTTTTGCATATGAAAACGGAGATGTGGAAAGTCGAGGAAAACAGGGAAAATGTTGCGCTTTGCAGCGGTTTCCTCAGCGGCTAATTGCGTACTCCTGGGGTTTCCTCTATAAAAGAAGAAAAATCGTATGCATCGAATTGCAATTGTCGGGGAGCACTCAAAAAAAATGTTTAGGGAATTGTAAAAGTAGTTTATTGTAATTCAAAAAGGTTGCCACAGTCTTTGTCCGCAATTTTGCGTTGACACATAGGAATAATCTGAGATCATTTTAATCTTATTATCATAATGTCACTAATTTTTTCTTATGATTGGTTTTGAACTCTAGCACTACGAAAACTATACTTATTAACCAGTTCTCAATTAATTCCCCATTATTTGAAAGGAAATACAATATATTATTTAATCTAGTTTAACCATAACCATAATATGTATTTGTAATATTTCTAGAGTCACATAATCAGGGCCATTCACTGCAATATTTTTTAGACTATCTATATTTTCATTTGAAGGTGCCTTGTTAGTTTATCGCAGTGTATTTGGGGGATAGGTTGGCTGGGGGTGTCAGGTTGTCAATCGCCCTGCCCGTTGTTTGTTGTCTCTGATTGTTGACATGCATTCCCGCAAATGAGCCGTGCAATTGTCTGGCTGCCTTCTATTGACAGCTCCCAGTTCGATAGTCAAATGCACATACATATACGATATCTCGGGACCTCATCCCTGGACCCGCGGGATACGTCTCGAGTTTCAGCTTCATCTTCTCCTGCGCTTTCATCTTTGGCTTCCCTGACTGACAACTGTCGGTTTCCATCTCGGGGTTCCCGACACTGAAAAGTGTGACGATTTATTTGGCATATGGCGCGGGGTTCCGGAATCGGAATCGATTGGTTTTGTCCCCGGGCAGATGCCTTAGATCTGCGACACGGGCATTGACAACCTCAACTGGACATCATTTGTCTTGGATGATCTTCCCATTTGCTAGGACTTTAAGTCTTCTGTTTGGATCATATTCCTGGCTGAGTAGTACTTGTCAGCGGTTTTAAATGGATTTCTATAATGGACTCGCTCCCTATAATATAACAATTAATTATGCTCGATTTTCCCTGTCGCTAGCTGTTTGGTGATAACATTTATTTGCGGGCTGTTGATAAGAGCGCGTCTAGTATTTGGAAAATGTATTAATAAGTGGGTATACCTAGTCTTGCTTTCTGGGTAATAGCGATCATCAATTAACTTGAAATATAGGTAATACAATACTAAAAAAAAAAGTTCAATTATTAATAAATTTAAGAAGAATAGAAGATTTTAAAATGATCCTTCATCAGCATATTCGTTAAGAGTTTACATACTTTAGAATATTGACATGCCTTCTTTTCTAGGGTATATCTCTTCTATATTCACAATCGCATCGATTCACAGTCCGTAATCGTAGCTCGTTCGTGCATTCCAAGTCCGGCTTTCGATCCACCATGTTGCGTTTAAGCTCGCTGCTGACTATCGGCTTTTTCCTGGTGTTGGCCTCTGTCTCCGGGGAGATAGTCAACTTCCAGACCTGTGATGAGACCGTGGACACCTGCACCATCCACCAGGTGAGCGTGGATCCTTGTCCGGAGGCCAAGACCAATGCGGCCTGCCACATCCACCGCAGGCGCAGGTTCACGATGAACTTCGACTTCACGCCCCACTTCGATGCCGACACCCTGGACGCCAGTCTGGGATGGGTCAAGTCGGAGAATGTGGAGCTGCCCCTCCTCAGCATGGATCGCGAGGCCTGCAAGTATACCAACTGCCCCGTGAGGACGGGAGTCAAGCAGACCTACTCCAACAACATGCACGCCGATGCCAGGTTCCCGCTGAGTTCTTATACCATCCGTTGGGCCCTGAAGGATCCCGTCTCCCAGAAGCGCTGCTGCTTCACCATCGACATCAAGGTGGTGCGCTAAGAGGATTATCGGAAAATAATTATCCAAATATTATTTAGTTACTTTTTTTTCATATATGTAAAAGAGGTAAATAAAATCTGTATATGACTGTCAATGTATATGTACTCTCTCCCTACATTATAATAATCAATTGGACTCATTTCACCTTGAAGCTGTCAGTTTGGTGACACAGAACACAGGAATGCTGCTGATAAGAACAATTTGAATTTTAAATGACTAACTAAAAAGGGTATTGCTCTGTTCTCAGACAAGTTCTGTAAATAAACTTAAACAACTCATTATAAAATATTTTTTCAGTAAAAATTATTTTAGCTCCTAATAAACATCTAATAAATATTATTACAAAATATACTAACAATCCGAAAAGGTCTTCAGATCATATGAGGGTTTTTTTAAAAAACGATCCTTGAAAAAAACCTATGATCTTTTCAAGTAACTTTAAAGAGTTTTCTGTTCTTGATCATAAGTTTTCGAAAAGTTTTAAGCATTGAGGTTTACCCAACCTCGCACCCTAACATTCTAAGTACATTGCGATAAGAAATTCCAATCTTATCAGCTGAGACACGCTTGCGGCCGCTTTCGATGTGTGTTGGCACAGATGTGACCGACCAGGTTCATGGGGTCGAATGGGTCCGGAGATAAGCCCGCTTTTGAGCCCAAGTCCACACCCGTAGAGCCTGCATTCCGAGTACGGCTTTCGATCCACCATGTTGCGTTTGAGCTCGCTCCTCACTTTCGTCCTGATCTCGGCATCCGTTTCCGCCGAGGTGGTCAACTTCCAGACATGTGCGGATAGTGTGGACGTCTGTACGATCCACCAGGTTCAAGTTTCCCCGTGTCCTGAGGCGCTTAACAATGCCGCCTGCCACATCCACCGGCGCCGTAGTAACCAGATGAGCTTCGACTTTACGCCCCACTTCGATGCCGACACCCTGGAAGCCAGCTTGGGATGGGCCAAGTCGGAGACGGTGGAGCTGCCCCTGCTCACCATGGATCGCGAGGCCTGCAAGTACACCCCCTGCCCCGTGAGATCCGGAGTCACGCAGACCTACACCACCGATGTGCCCATCGAGGCCAAGTTCCCGCTGAGTTCTTATACCATTCGTTGGGCCCTGAAGGATCCCGCCTCCGGAAAGCGCTGCTGCTTCACCATCGACATCAAGGTGGTTCGCTAAAGGGTTTCCTGAACTTATCCGAGTCCGATAGACTTTATTTTACATCTGCCTAACGACATGTAGAAAAATTGTACTTTACTTTTTGTTTTTAGTTTTCTAAAGTCTACAGAGAATTTTAATTTGCTTTCAATAAAGTAAACTAAACATGTTTTGTAACCTATTATATTTTGAATTTTATTTTCTTTGTATGTTTTGAAATTTTATTTCAGGTAAAACTAGTTTTACAAACCCTAGTTTTCTGTTGAATCAAAATATATATTAATACAAACTTTACTTGTCTTGCCACAATAATAGAATATAACAAAAATATTTTAGCTGAAAAACTAGGTAACCTTAATCTTATATCGTAAAACTTAAACAAGAAAGCTCTTAAAATCGCACATTCTGATTGCTGTGTTTCACTGCTCTCCTGATTGCGGTGAATACATTTATTTTCTGTTAACGATTTAGTGCGTTTTTTAATTATTTTTGTGCCGGGTTACGGCCCACAGGGGACAGCCTTAAGGAATAAAGATATTTACTCCAATAATCATCAACCTGCTGGCGACTAATTTGAAACCCCAGGGCCCCGCGGGCAGAAGGAAAATGTATAAAACTTTGATTGAACTTTTGGGTGCCATTAAAAAGTCGCCCCGCCTTCCTCAGCTTTTCTCCACGGGTCTTATCAGCGTCGTCAAACAATTAAAAATTGAGCACTTAAGTTGTGGTCATAAAATCATTTGTTTTTCTCTTATTTTCTTCTCATTTTTTCTGGGTTTTATTGTTTTTCTGTTCACATTTTTCAGTGGTGGAAAATTCAAATAGAAAATCACTTTTTTTACTCGGGGTTTGCAGGGGATGCGGGTGTATTGTTTTGGTGGGAATTGTTTACTTGGGTGGGATAATCTGAAAAATATAAAATTCAAAATACTGAAATCATAGGATTCCATCAAATTAATTTTTATAAATGTATATAAGAACATTTACTTACATATTACAAAATATATTGATTGGGTATCATTTCGTCCATCACTTTTTACCACATCCTTCTTACTTAAGTTTCTCTTTCGTTCATTGTTTACCTAAACGAAAACGTAGCAATATTTCTCGGTGGATGGGGAATTGGTCAGAAGTCTGATAGGCCTGACCCCAAAAAATAGAAAAAACCAAGGCAATAATAACACAAACAACGCCAGACACTTGAGCAAATAATAATAATAACGAGAATAATCACAGAAAGGACTTGAAGAACACATTGTTACTCAATTTAGATGCAGAGTGCCGGGAATCAAATTTAAATGTTGGCATTGGCCTCGCCGTATTTTTTACCCAAAACATAGGGAGTTTTGGTGAGTTGAGATATGATTTCGCATTTGACCTGCTCGAAACACGGTGAGGCGTCCACATAGACGACCTCTCTGCGCTGGCTGAGATAGGAATTGAGGGCAGGTTCACTTTTCCGGAACTGAGCCATCTGACGATCCAGAAAACTGATGTGAGCCTGAGGTCCCGGCGAATAGCTGTTGAGCAGAATTCGCATGCGAGCCATACGCTCGTCGATTTGCAGGAAAACAAATCGGTTTGGAGGCACAGTGAAGCCCTCGAAGAGTTCCTCAGCCTCGCACTTATTGTTAGGGTAGTTGATCAGTATCCAACCCCTGTGGAGGGCATCCTCCTTGAGGAGCCTGTTCTGGATGAGGTTTCCCACCGCCTGGGACCTTTTGTAAACACAATCCTTTTCAATGGCTTCCTGCAGCAAGCGCGAGTGCTCATCCTGATGTGGACTATTGATGCTGTGATAGGCCAGGACATCGGCATCCAGTATTAGTAGGTTCCAGCGTTGAGCTAGGACATGGGCCAAGGACCTTCGACCAGATCCAGGCTTGCCATGCAGCACTATGCGGTGGTAAAAGCTCCTGGGCAGCTGGTAAAAATCCCCCATTACGCCGCGATGAAAGGCATCCAAAGATTTGGTGTATATATCTACGCCGATCCGCCTTATATTCTCGCCCATCCATCGGCGTATATCTGTAACTCCATCCGCAACTGAAATCTCCGCCAGAATACGACTCATCACCTCCATGAGTTTGTGCTTCTCCATGTAGTACATGAAGGCGGCACTGTACTCCACCAACATGGATCGATTAAAATTGGTGGGCGAGGACATATCGCTATGTTGGCTTTATAGCGCGTGTTTTTTAAGGAACTTTTTGAACTTTACATTAAGGTTTATGAAATAAATGAAATATTTGTGCGTGCTAGCTCGATTGAACTATTTAAAATCTTTATAAAGAGCTACTTCTCTTATAAAAGTGCTTAAAAGTATGCAATGAAAAAGGAATATCATTTTGCAGAATAAAGTCATCGGACTTCAAAATATTGTAGTTATTCAATGGAACCCTTTAATATTATTTAAGGAACTTATGTATTACCAAGTTAAAAATCGAATGATTCCTTTTCTTATAAGCCTTAAGACCTTTATACTTTTCATGAAGGGTTATTTAATATCCTGTCTCAGCACATCTCATACTCTTCTGCATTTCTTTTACTTTTCCAGCTCATAACGAGATCTTAATAGAGAGCATTACCATTAAGACGACTGTTGCAGGGACTTCTCGCATTGTTATGATCATATTAATTGCTTCCGTTACGATATTAGAAAATGGCGCGTACTTCCGGGCAGCTGGAGAGGATTCGGATTGGGAAAGCCCAGAGAGCCCATATAATGGCCAACTAATGCCTTGCCAGGGAACGGAGCCAAGAAGTGCCAGGCCAAGGCAAATTGGCCTCATATATGAGAGTGCAGCTCGTTGGGTGACAATATTTTGCAGCGAATTATGACAGCTCCTTTGTCTTTCCGGGGCAGTACGAACCAACCACCCACCCCGAACAGGCCACATTAACAATTTAAAAAGCCGGGACTGCTAACGGTTCGCAAAGTGTTGCCAAAATGTCTGTCATACTTTATGTTGTCTTATGAGCTGGCCATGGCATGTCCTGGCCAAGAAAGCCAAGAATCCTCATAAGGATGCCATGAATGCCTGCTCGGTGGGTGGATGTGGATGCGGATGTCTTGAGTGGGCTAATAAAAACTAGCATACGATGAGAAATTGCTTCCTGCTGCCTTCGCAGGACACTCTCCATATTGTTATGTCAAATATGCTGTTAATATCTTGCACACACTAATATTGCATGCTTTGCTCTTGGGTTTATCTTGGAGTTTCGTTTCTTTTTTCACCAGCTGGTCAGGAGAAAAATTGCGAAGATAAAGACACGCCTTGAAAATGCATTCGGGAACGGATTTTAATTATATAAAAAAATGGAAAATCAAAATATGAATTTGAATGTGGAGTGCTTTCGGCTGTTCGCCGCTGCCACAAAGAGCGAAACTTTTTAATTAAACTCAAAGCAAAGCAAAAGCAAAAGCAAAAGCGACAGCGATAGCAGCACGACAGCCTCTCATCTCAGTGCTCCAAATTACATTTCGTCATTATGACCAGCGTCCACACACTCCACCCATATTATATATACATATATCCCCCGATCCGGGTCTCTTTATTCTGTTTTAATCGCCAAAATTGTGGCACAAGCCGCCGACGACATTTGACGCATTTCGCAGTTATCACAGAAGAACTGCGGATCGAGTCACGCTACTGGGAGACAAGATGGCGCCCTAGAATCGCCAGCTCAAATCCCGAACCCGAAGTGCAACATGCCCTTATAACTAGTTTTTAAAAACATAAAAATATAGTTAATTGATTCACATATGTAGGATACTTATGTTTGCAGTCTTAGCAATATTTAAAGCTTTTATAGTGATATCTATATGTTACCATTATAACCAACTGAAAGAAGAATACTTCAATTTGAAACACTTTCTCATATACATATTTTACTTTGTCAAAATAAATAAATAAATAAATAGATAGAACTTAAATCGTTGTGATTTTGTGAAAAACTAAAACATTATACTCAGATTGACTTAGTATATAAAACGGCCACACGCGGGTTTGAGGAGCTAGTCTTGAAGAAAATAAATTATAGAGCCGACCAACCTCATTATCCCATTGCCAACCGTTAAAAACCGAGGCGCAATTCGAATTGATAAGAAAAGTGACGTTCGGTGCTTGGCACGGCTGTCGAATAGGAGAAACCCCGTGGACCCGTGCACTCAGAAAACAGCTCCGGAAACAATAATTGATTAAAAAATATTTTGGCGTTTTCGACAAACAAAAGGTGTATGAATCATACAACTTTATTCAGAGATTAAAAGTGGGTTCAAAGTATAATCCTAAAATAATTTATTTATCAAATATACTGAAGAAGCTTTACGTGTAAATTTTATTTAGTACTAGAACCCATTCTTATTATTAAATAACAATGTAAAATGTGAATCCTAAACTTGTGGTTCTGTTTTTTGTTTTTAAAGTAATAGTGTCAGTATAGTTACTACTTCTGTTCTTCAAGTGTGGCTGCAGTTCTAGCTTAAGATTGTCGGCTCCTTTCAAGTTTGCCGCCCGCCATCTGAGGAGCGCTTGGATTAATCGTAGTTTCGTTGCATCTTTGTGCGATGGATGCACTGGTCTTATCGGGTCTGTCGGACTGTGGACCTTATCGACTTCCTTTGAGGCCCCTGCTCCGAAGGGCCGGAAGTAATGAGCGCCGTGTGTTGACGTCGCCTTCTTGCGCTTATCAATTTCACAATTGCAAAGGGCTTTATCTTTGACCGACAACACAGCCAGCATGAAAAAGCCCTCCAAATGAGAAAGAGTTTCACTGATTTTCCCCCTTTTTTCCTGTTCTCCAACCACAAAACCCTCAACACTCAACGCCCAACAATTAAAAATCATTTTTCATCTGCCGTTCACACAATTGCTAGTCAACTTTCCATTTTCCCCCAGAGGACACGAACCTATGGCAAACAAAAAACAAAAAAAAGTGGCAAACAAAGCCACACATCAACAGGCTGAAAAATGAGAGCCGGGGTTTTTGGTCCTGGACCACTTTGTCATGCCGACAATTTGCTGCCAATATTTTGCCAATTTTTTTCCGGTGCGAATTTCTCCGCTGGTTTGCCTTCAATTATGCAGCAATTGAAAAATTACTACGTGTACAACAATTTCGGTTTCAGTTCAGTTCTTTTTTTTTGTGGCAAGGGAAAGGGGTTTTATTTTAGGCTGGCAGACAACAGGTTTTAAATTTGTCACCGCAACGACAAACATGACAAACGCCAAATGAAGCGCAAATTTAATTACGCAATTTTATTGGATTAACAGGCGAAACCTGAAATGTGGATAAAAACAAATTTAAATATGCCGCACACATGTGTGCCGTGGCTCCGCCCTTTCCTTGTTTTCTGGTCCACCCCAAAGGGAGCTCTTTGGCCCGGTCAAAAACCGTCTAGTCGCGTAGGTGAGTCGTAAATTTGCGCGCCATTGTTGGCAGATTTGGACCCCCACTCCCCAGAATCCTTAACCCCTTGTTGACGCCAATGTTGCACACCTCCAACTCCAACTCCTCCCCCACGGCACGTGTGCGTGTATGTGTTATCTTCCTTTTTTGGCCTTTTCACTTATGCAAACGGAACATTTGAAAAATATGTTGGCAGGATAAACAGCAGGGCCACAAAGTGCAGCTGATGCCCCAGACGAACTGGCCTCTCCAGACTGCTTTCTGCCGCCCTGACATTTTAATGAGCATGCAACGCTGCAACGTGCTGCTCGTACCCCTTTCCTACAGAGAAAAAAAGTGAGATCTATAATAAAAAAATGTTTTGACGTAACTTAAAAGATTTTTGAAAAATGTTCGATGATATTACATAAATCTTTACGTTGGTGTCCAAAAGTATGCAACATATATTTAAAATCTAGAAAACATATGGATTCATTCCGTTTCTTTTTATCTGCATACTTTTAGACACCCTTTTAAGTAATGTCAAAAATAAAAAAGCTATTTGTTTCAAACCATTTTAGAAATAGGTACGATTTTAAATCTACAAATTAATTTGAATTTTCCTCAGTGCATCCACCCATTTTTCACACCCACTTTTTGCCAGCCAGCATCCTTGTTAAATTCATTAGTAAAACGTTGCACCTTCAGCGCAATTTCCAGTCGGAGATAGAGGGTCCAGAGCACACGTCTGTTTGGCCTGATGTTGCCACACAGCACACACGAAATTAAAACCCCACCACCCTACGAAATCCCCCCAGAAATCACCCACAACAACAAAAACAACAACCCCACCATGAACGAGCAGACAACATGACATGATACCGATACTAAACTGACACTTTGACATGGACTTAACCCTAAAAACGCTTTGTTGGCTTTATTGGTGTCGGTTGCCCTGCCCTTTGGCCTCCATTCCCCATTTTCCCTATATTTTTCGTACGGCTCCTGGAAATTTTTGGGGGCTATTATGCGTGTGTGGGGTCGAAGCATCAAGGTATCCACTTGATTTTTGCACTAATTTACGTGGATTAAGCGCTCGACGTGACTGTGTGACCTGGGTATTAAGCTTAAATACCTTTTAATTGACAATTTGTGTTTGGCCATTTGATGCCTGATTTTGTTTATTTATTGTGTGTGTGGGCTGGCTCATTAAATGTGTTTAACAGGGAACCGGGAAAGGAAACCCCAATTAATCTCTCGGGCACAACATACTTAATTTACGAATGTTGTTTAAGGTTTAAGGTCATTAAATTTTTTTAAGCAAAGTAAGAGAGATTTTATCCTTAAAAATATAACTACTTTTGTTTATCCAGTTTAAGGGACATGCAATTAAAGTTCCAAGAAATTCGAACAACTTTGATTAAACTTTGGCACCCCAACTCCCTTAACTATCCAATTAACCTTTGGTCAGAACTTTTCCATTTCTTGGGATCAATTTTTTGCGAAAAGGAATCTATGAGCTGCAGGTGAAGCTTGTCCTCATTTGTATGCCACTAAACTGTGGAAAAACTTTCCCTGGGTATCAAGAATTGTGTGAAATCAAATTCCCCCTCCTTTTCCCGGATAAATTCGATCCATCAGCTGCAAGTTGTTCTGCGAAAAGCTGAAAAGTCTCGCCACACAAGCGAAAAGTTGCACAAAAAATGGCTTAAATCAGCGATTTTTTCTTTTTTGAGGTTTATCTCACTGGTGAAGGAGGCGTTTGGGGGCGTGGCCAGTGAGCCGCTTAAGCTGCCGCACGGTGCAGCGTCGTCTAATTGAACCCAACAGATATTTTCAATTAGCAGCAAAACATTTGTGAGCTAAAA